GTAAAGCTAATGTATTTTTTTTTTATTAAGAACGCAGCTCATAATTCTAATGAAGAAAAGAAATGTTGGAAAGTGAACATTTTCTTCATTCGCATTCCCCAAATCCAATCAGCTTCCCTGAATATGAATAAATGCATCCCTACAGCGTAATGCTCACAGCATGTTTTATCATAGGGGATGATGCATTCAGGGTGAGGTTCAGTGGTGGGTTTTTAGCAACACAGCTCTTTACAGGTCAGCCAGAGTTCAAGGCTTTCCTTTGTCTGACCAGAGCCCTTTCTCCTCATGTCGACTCTGTCCTCTTTATGGCTTCTGACAAAAACTAAACAGGACATTTAAAAACAAAAAATAAAAATTTTGTACCAAATATACCATAGATTAAATACAATTCATCTTGAATTATCTGTATGGCTTTGGTACGTTTTAGTTTGTGCCATTTTCTAAATGCATTAAAGTACAAATAGGGTGAATATTTTTTTCTAATGACTGTATGTAACAATTTCAGCTGGGATATGAAGTACGTGAGGGCGTGTGAGGACCGTGTGGCGACAATTGATAGCATCTTTTCAGCTTTGATAACCTCATCTTATGACTACACAACTAAGACCTGGCCTTAAGAGAACAGAGAAGGTCTCTGCCATGTCCTGTAACATCCGTTTCTGAGCACAGCTGCTTTAGTTTCTTAGCAACATAACAAAGCTTAGAGGCTGATTGCAAAATTGCACTCAAACATGCGCATCATTTATGAAGTGGATTATTCAAGAAGCTGAAATATAAAAAAAGTTAAAAAGCGTAAAATATCTATTTTATCTGATATTCATTCATTGCAGCTTCAACTGGATTTAAGGGTATTGTGACATTACAAGCTGTTCTGTTGGATGAATATTAACTCAGGAAGAATGCCCATATTACTTTGACATTCAGATAATCCAGCTTTGATGATCTCAAAGGAATGGTGGGAGGTTTAGTTTTATTCATCCTTCTCAAGGACATATCGGACAGTCGGCTCTCCTGTATTAACGACACTGAGCTCTTATTACATTGTGTGCTGTCCTTTTATTTTGTAAAAGTCAGAACAGTGCGGCTGTTTCTGGGTTAAATAAAACGCCATCCATTACCATCAACCATCCATACAATCACCGACTGTTAATCACTAATGGTTTCCGTTTGTTGCATAATAAATGTTTAGGTATGTAATTTCATAGATAAATCTCCACAAATGTCGAGTCAGAAAGTCATTAAAAGTTTACCACCACCTGTGGATTCACTGCTGAAATGGGAGAGTAAACTACCCATTGTACATCATATGTTATGTGTGGTTCTTAAAAATATATATACGTATACTAGGGATGGGACGATTTATGAAAACCGTCAGAATCGTTCGGTTCGCGTGTGTTTCGTTTGGTTCATGCGCTGCTCCTTTTTCTCATAGAGGAAGCGATTACACTCCAGAGCAGAAGGTGGCGGTACTGCGACCAAAGCCAACCGCCAGTAGTAAACAAGAAGAAGAAGCAGCGAAGCAGCTTAGCCGGGTGTAGCAGGGGAAAAAAAATCAGTTGTTGTGGAGAATTGTGTCGGACTGGCGAGTGGGAAAGAACAGGAGTTGGAAGACGCGCCAGCAGCACTTTATAGGTCTGCTGTATGGGAGCGCTTTGCATTTAGAGTGACCTACGATGACAGCGGAAACAAAGTTGTAGATAAAAGTGCAACAGTGTGCAAGCATTGTGCAACACGTTTTGTTTATGCTAACAGCAACATGTCATGCTAACCCCGAAATCCCTCATACTCCGTCAGCAACCCCCGCTCCGCCCCGCTGCGCTCCAGACCGGCTGCTCAAAGCAAAGCATACAGCCTCCACTGTGGCTTCGTCTGCTCCCCTCTGAGTCCCTTGGAGATGGTAGAGAGCATGCGCGAGATGATTAAAATCAAAGCAGCAAAACATACGGAAATGATCCAGGGTTTCCGCGGATCATTTAAAATAATTACAATCCATTATTTTTTGGGGGATTTTTTCATAATTTTTTATGGGATTTCGGTGTAACAATCAACATGTATCGAATCGAACCGAAAACCGTGACCAGAAACCGTGAATCGAACCGAACCGTGGATTTTGTGAACCGTTCCACCCCTAATGTATACACTCCAGGTTAATTATCTCTTAAACCAAACAATGTTTTCTATTCATTTACCAGAACTCTAGGAAAAGAAATTGTAACCCTAATCCATGCCACAAATTGCAATGTTGGGCCAAATTAATTCTAAATCTTGCCCTAGAGTTTTTATTCCCAAAGGAGATTTAAGGATACCTCTGCAAGGTCTGCATCTGGAATCATGTAGCTGAGACAGTAAGACTTTTGAGACTTTACAATAGCTTGTAAGGGCGGGCATACACTGGAAGATTTTTTGCCCGTTTTGGGCTAATTTTTGTGTCTTGCAAGAATAATTTTAGATCGGGCCGAGTGTCAGCTTCATCATGCGTCCTGTAGCATACAGATGATAATGAGAGACGATTAGCCTTTCACGACAACCTCCTGATCGTGAATTGTACGTACCGATGAAAATCAAACATGTTTGAAATTCCCTCAACTCTGTTGAGGTGATCCTGAGCTCATGCATGTGCAAACAAGTGAATGCTTCTCTTCACTGACTTTACTTTCAGGTCGCATCAGAGCGATAGGTTCCGATGCGGCATGTGCAAGAACAGCAGATACATCTTTAGCTGTAAACTTTTATACTGTGTGGTTTCGTCGTAGAGTTTGACATCGTAGAATGTTCTGCTCGCTCTACCAGATTCTCAGACAGCATACAAATTGTAAAATCATTCCTTAGAGCATTCTTTTACTAATCGAGACAAAAGTGCTGTCATCTGTGCAGATGGTCAGACCAGTTTAGTTTGTTTAAAAGGCTAGATTCAACATGACAAAATTTAAAATTTCAAAGTATTGCAATGAGTGTGTTTCATTTTTTTTGTTTTATGTGCTACTTTGTGTTGGTCCATCATATAAAACCAAATAGTCCTAATGTGGATGAATTTAGGCAAACCGTTCCATGGAGTATGAATACTTTAGCACAGAGCTGTGTGGAAGGGCATCATTTGATGATTATTAAATTTTTCCTATTATAATTTTATCATCAACACACCACAGCAGCTAACATAATCCACACAATCGTCAGCTACACTTCTGACTCTACATTATTGAAAATACAAACAGTTGGACAAAACAAGAGAAAACAGTGTGGGAGGATGGTAAACATGGAAGGCGAGCAAGATATTTTCAAGAGGGTAAAAAGGAAACATTTATGCGTGAAAGTCATGTAGGAGGATTTTAGAACAGACTGTACCCGAGTGTTAGAGCTGCAGATAAAACTTGAGCAGGTTCACAGAGGATGGGGAGATGAAGCTGTGTCTGCCTATGGGTGATAACAACCAACACCTAGCAACTGGGCGTGCAGGAAACCAGGAGAGGAAGGAACAACAGAGAGCGAGTATCGAGCTGAGCCGCAGCAAAAGGGGAAGAAAACATGATATACTGACGTAAAGGATTTCGTCTCATGTCTCTGATTATACAGAAAGTAAATGAAACCTCCCTTTATATGGATGGGAAACGTTGCCGTCTGATAACTGTAGTGATCAAAGCATTTTTTTTTTTTCTCTGCAGCAGAATGTTGGGCAGCACTTACAGCAATTATCTCTTCATTGTCGTGTGAGGCCAAACATAGGGCATCACTGAGAGCCATCAACAAGCTACAGAACGGGATCCTGAATCCGGCTTCAGCTCGTGTTTTTCTCTCATATGCAGCAGCATTTCACCAATAACAAAGATGACAAATATCTCTGAACCAGTTTGAGCTATTTGTTTATGCCTCACCTGTAAAAACTTCAGAAGGCATCTAGTTACATGGATTTTATTCAAGTATGTTAAAGTAGGCTGTATACAAAAGTAAAAAAATAAAGGAGAGATTAAGTGAACAATGTATCCTTTTCCTTTAACTTTACAATTAGGTCAACAATGTTTGTCTAACAATAAAATCCCAATTAGAAAAATTAAAGTTTATTGTGCTAATGCAGCAAACTTAAAAGTTCAAAAGGTACAAATGCGTTCATTGGCTGTAAAAAGGTGACGCAACACTCAGTAAAACATTCCACACAATGACACAGAATCCCAAATCAATCGTTGCAGAGCATGACATGAATTACTGCCTACAATCCTTCAGTAATCTAAAGACTCCTTGACTCAGCTGAGGCTACGCTCAGCTGCATCCATCATTATAATCTCCAGTGTAGAGTGAATCACTGCAGCAGTGTGTGTGCTGTCTTCTAAAGGCTGCACAGATGAGTCATTATCGCACCGTGGGAGGAACATCAGGCGACTCACAGGGCAACAGTTACCGACTCATACCTACACTGGACTGGTCAAAGATACTTTAGCGGGTTCTGGAAGAGCTGTAGAGCTTTGCATTGTGTAACGGGACTCCTGCACAATCGATATGCTTATCACCAGACCCAAAATGGTGCATATTACTGTAGCCCTGCTGGGAACTAAATAAAAAAAATAAAAAAAAGATCATTGGTATACTTCAAATTCAGATAGCCCCTATAGTTCCCCGTTATTTGCAAATAAATTATAAACTTAAAGAAACCCTACTGATAAGGGTAAATATATTTGACCTAGTTTTATAAACTGTTCAAAAGTTTCACGTGTTAAACCATGGGAGATGAATAAAAACAATGATGCAAAGGTGACAAAGTGGCCATAAAATGAAAAGGTATAGATTTTAGCCTGAGGCTGCTAGCATGAGTCTGTTGTAAAGGTGACACTTCCTTCTCTGTCTAGACACAAGATCAGCCCCCGCTTCTGTAATCTTCCTCAAGCACAAAGGGAATTACAAACAATTAAATGATCAGCTCTGGTTGTTGTAGTTAACTGGCTCATTTGGCTGTTTAATTCCTGAATTTATGGGACATTAAAAGCAGTTTAAACACAGAAGTGCATCCTTACCATGTTTGTGATCTCTGGGTATGCATTCTCAACCAGCACACCTCTGTTGGTGGAAACGTAGTCCACTAGTTCGGTCAGGGTGGCCCTCTTCACCTCCTTGCTCTTCAGGTCTGTCACGGAGTCCAGAAAGTCAAAAAGCGTGCAACACTGCTGGAGTTTCTGGGTGAACAGTTCCTGCTGCTCAGTGGAGGGGGCATCTGGAACATGAGGATAAAATACAATCATTCAATACCAAAGGCAAGACATTATGACTGAAATCACTTCCAACAAGTAAGAAAAAATGAATAGAACACATACTGGGATGATGTTTGTTTCGATTAACTGCAAATTCAACAAAAAAGTTAAAGATCTGAAATGAAACCTCTATCTGCTTTAGTGTATTCTAACACTCTTCTCACAAAGCTGCATGATTAAGGGGCAGACAGACTCAATAAGGGGAATGCATGCCACATGATGACAATCCAGTCATTCTTGGCTGCAAAGCCTTTAAAGGATCAAGCAGTGAAAGTGGTCAGACTTATTAAGCCTGTCAACCTCAACCTGGGCGAAGCTATAAACACTGTGTGGCATAGACCCAGAAACGCTCTGACACAGTGTACAGTTATGCAGTAGGTTGTGACGGAGAGACCACACAGTCTGTTTAACTTGTAACAGCTCAACAACCAGACAACCTAAAGGTTCAGAGGGTACCCTAAAACGCTCTCCTCCATGACAGCTGATGACACTGAAAAGTGAAAGTCTTTATTAGAATTAAAGATAATGTTTCACAGCATTTCAACACCACTTCATGACCTAAATAGGACCAACTGCCACTCTATAGCCCCTTTACCAGTGAAAATACCAGGTTAATGCAGGTTTTTCAAATCTGGGTTGACCGGGTAACAATTGGCCTTTGGCTCCCTTCCCAGTGGCAAAAAAAGCTGGGTCTAACAACTCGCTGGCACCTCCATGGCCTCTTTCCTCCTGCGGCTGCGTGTCTGGTGACACCATCACGCTGGGTTAGCATTGATGATGTCAGAGTCAGAAATCAGGAAAGTAAACAACGGAGAGCAACATGTTAAGGAAGCCAGGGTGTAGTCAGTGGGCTTTATTGTTTCGCTTTTATCTGTCCTAATCCCTCCCTCAAATGTAAACAGTTGTATCGGCTTGCTAGATCAGAAGCGACTGGCACGGTGTGTTGACGACCTTAAGTTACGCTCAATACTGTCAGGTAATGTAGCAGGGAAACCCAGCTCTAGTGTTCCTACAGCATGCCGATCAGAGCCGGTTTAGCGAGGGTGGCCTGCCGAGACGTTTGACCCAGGTAGACAAGCATCAGTGAGCTGTTCCCACTGAGACTAAAAGCAGTGCGTTTCCAGGTTTAAACGGGTTTTTTGGCCATAGGGAAAAAGGGAATATATTTCAATGTTAAACCTATGGCTGCGGGTGTACTAACTGAACTTTTCTAAGCTGGTTTATAGGCTTTTAAAAAGGTGCAATGTGCTCTATCGATTTGAAAATTCGAATTTGAGATAAGAAAAATAAATTAAAAAATAAAAATCACTGCCACATAGCAGTATAAATGAAAACCCTTCTAGAAATCAGAAAGCCCTTACTTCATAAACCCTTACTCTTCATTATTATTCAAGAAGGTTCACAGTAAAGAAATGCCAGAAAAACAAAGTAAAAAACATCTTTTGTATGTGAAATCTTCCTCTCTGTAAAACTGAGTGATACCAAGTGAGGGTGATGAGCCAATCAAATGGTAATCATCCAGCTGTTTGGTGTTTTGTGGAAGTCAACCTCCAACTGTAAAAATCTTTAGTGCTTATTCACCGATACTGAGCGCCTTAAATTTATATAGTCTCTACACATTTTTATGATTAATAATGATTTATAGGAGATATTTAAATTGTTGTGGGGTGACAGCTGTCGACCAATATAACTTTTTAATGCATTAATTATTCTAAATTGAGATGTTTTGAGCAAACAACTTTTTAGATTAATCAATTAATTATCAGCTAGCAAAGGCTGCTTAATGAGATTTTTTTTCATTGATTTTTAAAAAGGTAAAGCTAAAGCTTTGCCACTTGAGTTCTGGATGTAGAATATTTAAAGACAAGTTTTTTTTTTTATATTAAATTGCCTTGTTTTTTCTTGTAAAATCTTGGATTAATTGCTGCTCTTAGTGGGCTGTAATTTAAGAAAATGGCATTAGGATTACCAAATTAGTTGATAGTTTCAATAATCAATACAACACATTTAATCGCTTCAGGTCTACACTGTTGTCAGGCTTTAAGAATACAATGTGCAAAACTGATTGAAGCATGGAAAGAACAGGCTACAACAAACCTGCATCTTAAATTAAAAAGACAAAGCGGTCAACCATTGACCTATTTTTTAAGAAAACAAACAAAATTTTTTAGAATTACGTACATAAGGAGCAGAATAAATGGGTGCATGGGTGCATGTCCTGAACATCTGCAAGTTTCCTTCAGTTTAATCTTTCTTTATGTTTAAGAATGTCATCCATAAAGTACGCAGTATCAAGAGTAGTAGTTTTAGTGTTCATTTATTTATTTTTTTTATTTTTAGACCTAGTTTGCTTTGATTTAATGAGTGGATAAAAGAACACTAAAAGAAGAATTCGAGAAAGAAAATAAAGGGAACACATTTAGCTTATAATTTCTTATTTTACTTTTAAGAATATCTATATTGAAAGAAAAAAAAAACAGCATTTAAAGAAAACTAATTATTACTATTTAGAAATGACAGTTTTATTGTACATCTTCGTTTTGTCCATGCACACATTTGCACCTTCAAATGTCACAGCTACAGTTCAAAGCCAACTACAAGAGCCCCGGCAACATGAGTTACGGCACAGAGTTATTTATCGAGGAATATTATGCAACTGAAAAGGCATCACCCCTTGAAACGCAGAACAGGAAGATCTCACAGTCAGACATGGCCAACGAACCCATTATAATTTCACACACAGCAAAAATGTTCCAGTGGTGTTGACAGCTGACAAAGTGCTTATGCAACCGAACCATTGAGGTCAGACGGTGCCTGTTGCTGGGAGTAACCTCAGTGTGTGAGTGTAACTGTACCAAACGGACTCGTTAGTGGCCAGTGCCCTGCTTTCATGCCAGTTTTCCAATGTATCACATCTCAATGGGTCTCAGAGTGAAAGGGCAGACCGAATACCGATCTGGAACAGGAAAGATAAAAGAACCATGATGACACCCTTGCAGTCATGCCAACATCATGGCTCATATTTCTCTGCTGGCTCTTCAGGAAGGCATCTCAACATCAAACCAGCTGTGTTTTTATTGACAGTTGCACAACGGTAAAAACTAGCATATTCAACTAAAAGGATAAAAAAAAGACGTAAAAGCACATTCACAGCCTGCTAGTGTCCAAGCTTTTGGTCAACTTTTTACTTTAATACAAACCAAATTTATGAAAATCTGTCGAATTTTTTTCCCCATGCATTTCTGCATGCATTACAATATTTTAATCATCCATTATCATTATAATTATTAAATGGCCCATATATATTAACAGTATTTTCTAACCCCCTTCCTTCCCTGCATATGTTAAAAAAGACATTTTGAGCTTCTTCACAGCGAATCGTGTCTATCCCCTTGAGGGGGAAAAAAAAAAAAGATGGGTGGGCCTTTTAGATCCTCTGACATGTAGATGCTTTCCCCAAAGTGAAGCTATTTTTGTCTTTCACATAGGAGATGCTTTAGCACACAAATTCCTCAGGGTGCTTGTGCAAAGGAAGGAAGATATTTCCGAAAAGAAGCTATAAACGAAAACAAAAAGAATGTGAAAAAACATTTTAGAGATCAGAGAAATTAAACTAAATTTAGAAACCTGCCAGAAAATGATGTAGACTTTATTAGTTAGAGCTGAGGATAAACAAGGAATCTTAGTCTCAAAAAACTGTAATGCAGAGCTTTAATGATCACTGATCGGTCTTACCTAGATGATGTGTTATATAATACCATAACTATAGAAGAAGATGAATGAGGAAACTGAGAGAAAGCAATGTCTTTATCTATACAATTACTCATTACTCTCACTTTGACAATCATTTAATAGCAGATATTTAGACTAATGGAGAGGATCAGACAAGAAATCACAAATGGTCCTTAAGTTGCTTCATTTTTAACCAAACCTTTAAAATGTCCAACTAAAATAGGATAAACTCAAACTGCAAAAGTACAAAAGATAATTGTATCCTTAGAAGAAATCGAGAATTTACAATTAAAAATACCTCATACCATTTTAGAAATGTAAATAACACCTTCACTTAATAACATGCTAATGTATTGAAAACAAAACCAAAATAATGCAAGTTAATTACCACTATGACTCTACAGATAAACAGGTCACATTTTGAGGGATGCACACACACAACCCTCCCATAAGCAATAATAAAGTTGGGTAACCTGTATTATTTATGCAGGTGTAATAGCAGCTAAGCCTTTGAACCAAACACTGTGTAAGGCAGCTGTGCAATGAAATGTATTAAGCCTAGAAGAAAAAGTGTTTTATATCGTGGCAATTAAACAATTTCAAGAAGACCTTTTCTCAGAAATTTTAACTTTGCAGCAAAGAAACATCTGATGACTTAACAGGAAGTGTGAGCTCAGCCCTATAACCACAGCAGTGCACATGGAGAGGGAAACATCACATAATCAGAATAAGCTTCCTTCACCAAGTGTGTGCAAACAAACAAGAAACTTTGCTTGTGACTTTGCAGTCAGTGGTAATGAGAGCAAAATAAACATAATCACAAACAACAAACCAGAGTACAGACAGACTTTTGTCTACAGGACCATTAATAAATTGAGAGCTTTGAACATTAAACTCATCTTAAGTGTTTTTGACAGAATAAAAGAAGTTGTAAAAAAAAAAAAAAAAAAAAAAAAAAAAAAAAAAAAAAAAAAGCCAGCATATTCTTACTTAAGTACAAAAAGACAATCAGATATGCAGGACATCAATGAATCCTCCCAGTTTTAATCAACTACTTATTTTGTGGGTAATTAGTTGGATGTATTACATCTGAGATTAATGTACGTAAGCTAGGGCTGTAACTAAGGATTATTTTGCAAATTGATTAATCTGTCCTTTATTTTAACTAATTGATTAATAATCGGATAGCAAAAGGTTCCTTAAATAAGCTTTTTTTGCTAAATTAAACCAG